TATTGAAGTTAAAACATTTCCAGTTGTGGCCAAATCAAATTTAAATGATTTATTTGTCCTAGACATCTTGAGAACAATACTTAAGACTTACTGCTGAAGAATGAAAGTTTTTATGAAATACTGTTAGTGTATCTTGGTGGAAATTTGACTTGCAGTGAAAAGCCCGTATTTTACTTTGTATTTTGTTATACAAAAGAGACTTTAAAAAATTCTTTCCTAAACCCATTTTGTTGCTTGTTACTTTTTGTGTGGTACTTTCTGTTGTTATGATTTCTTTGTGTCTTGCTTCTTTCTAGAAAGTTTTTGAAAGTCAACTTGGAATCAGGCAGAGTTTATACGCATTTAGATATAACTACTTATTAAGTTGTACACATTTTATAGCTGTTCCCACTATAAGAGTGTCTTCTAGATTTTCTTTTAGTAGGTCATTGAATCTTTTTCACTTTATGGAGCAGTAAGAAATGCGTGGAAGAATTTGAATTTAGAGAGGCTGTCTTGCATGTATATATGTGGGCATTGGCATTTAGAGGCTATAAAATAAATTGGCAGTGAATGTTTTATTTACCTGTTACACTAGCAGCTAGATCATCAAGTAACATTTTTTTTCCCCAGATATATTGGAATACACTTGACGGCACAGAAATAGAATAAGGCACTTAATAAAAAATATTTGTGTGCAGATTGCAGGAAGATTTTAATTCTTATATAACAATCTGTATGTATGCTTTAGAAACACAAATTATTTGAGAAGTAAAGGTGGTCCACTGTCATGCTTTTTTATGAACAAAATAATTCACTGATACTGAAATTATTTTAGTAGTGAAATTGTTATAATACTTTGCCTGTCCAAATTGCCAGGCTTTTTGATAAAGCTGGCACCCTGAGTGACAACCACACACACCCAAGGTTAGACTGCAGCATTGGTTTCTCTCTGGCTTTCTCTCTTTATAAGCCTCCCTTTCATGTGTAGCCAAGTGAAAGTCTCCAAGTGAAATGTAAGCTCTGTGGATCCTCAGGAGCTTTAGCCTGATGGGAGGATCCAGGAGAAAAGCAGCGGTTTGGAAAGGCTGCTGAAGGCACAGAGGGCAGAGGGCTCCGGGTGATGACACGACTTTGCAGACCTTTCTAAGCAGATCAATGAGAAGGCATCGCCTCTCTGGGCTCGGGACGTGTTTTACCCAGAAGAGTAGTCCTGGGTTTTCAAACCAATTGTTTTGGCTTTATCCTTCAGATGTTGCAGAAGGAAAATGTGTTCTTTTATTGCTCTTCCAAGTCGTTTAACCATTTATCCTTAATCATCTGCAGTCTGTGTGGGAATAAGTCTTCTAAAGATCACTGAACTTTGCTTGATTTGAAATCAGAGTAGAATTCGTTTTATTTAATGTGGGAAACCTTCTTTGGAGAAACTTGACACAAACTGGCTTTTTAGTGACTTAGAATTTAATCAAAAGAGAACACCATAGAAAAACACTGCCATATGTACAAATGTCTGCTCGTGGGTTAGATTGCTGTAAGCTTTCGGATTCCTTCTCTGTGGTTACTGATCATTGCAGTAACTGTAGTAGTCAACGTTTAGCAAGTCAGCATGAATTAATGAAGTTTTGGTTATATCAGAGGGATGGAACCCTAGGCTAGCTGTAATGTGTGTCACTGTTATTGTTAAGTTTCCCTTGCCACTTGTTCTATGAAGAATGATGATTTTAGAAGCACTTAATAGATTTGCTTTGTGAAAAAGTTAATAAGCCCATTAGACTACTGGTGTGTGTGGAAGTGAGCTATAAAGAAATACATTCCCTTAGTTCCCACATCAGCATATTACAAAAGAACTGTACTGTGGGTCATTTGGAATTTTACTGATCTCTTCCAAGAGCAGTTCAGAATGATTTTTCAGAGTGCTAAGTCTGTACCTTGGTGCATGGATTGGGCTGGCATGGTTTTGGGCTCAGTGGGCCAAGTAGAGCTAATTGAGGTGGGGAAAAATTGAGAGAACAGGCCATAGTGATGAATAGAGTTATTTGTCACTGAGTTTGTAATAGGATTTTCAATTAATTCATGCAGGCTTCCAATGCCTTACATTAGCCCTGTCAAGATGAACTACTGCCACATCTAAAATGCCATCCCCTATTAAACGGTGCATATCAGTGAATTTATAATTTCTTCTGTTCAGCCAGAAGATGAATGGATTCTACTTAGAAAACAAATGTGCACTTCAGAAATGCACATTTTAAAATCCTGAACACTTCTTAGGAGGAACATTCTTCTCATTGTTATACACTGAATATGTATTAAAAATGCAATTGCACTGTGAATCCATCCAAAAGCAAAGCATTTAGCTGCATAGAGATGAACACACTGTCAGGTGCCCCATTTCACTGGTGACCAGGCTTTCATGCTGGGTGATGATGGTGGTCATGGTTGTAGTGTAGTGTGTGTGTGTGTGTGTGTGTGTGTGTGTGCAGCCTTTATTGCCTTCTGAACCATTGAACCATTGGAGGGGATTTATGCACACAAATTTGCTAGACACGTACAACAAACCAGATTAGGAAATTAAAGCACAGAGAGGTTAACCTGCCCAAGATCACACAACTAGTGAGTGTCTACATTGTAATACAAGCTGTGGAGTCTGTGCTTCTCACCAGTTCTTCATCCTGGCTGATCAGTCTCATTAGCTACAGTTCAAGAGTTGGCTTAGCCCTCCCCAACAGTAATGCTCAGTATTGTATTTATTTACTGCTATTTTCTCAAGCTTATCTTGGGAAATATGTTAAGCTGTGATAACCTGACTTCAAGAAATGCATAATACAGAAGAGAATATAGTGAAGCGTAGGTGAGGATGGACTGCAGTTACAACTCTTCCTCCCACAAAATCAGTCATTGAGTGGAATAGGACTGCAGCTCATGATACTATAAGGACCAGAACTCCTGGGTGGCATTTCCTTTCTGGAAAAAAGGACACAGTAAGGTTGCTTACATGATAATGTCAAGGTTGAGTAACAGGAGTTGTGCCATTAAAGGCCAGGCCTTAAGGCAGTGTCCAAAAAGTTAGAGCATTTGTAAGGGCATCCGTACTGGGAGGCTCAACTCCTGTCGTCCAAGGATGTTAGCCTCCAAGCAGCTCTGATTAACTAACCCCAGCATCACATGAACCATGACAAGGTATGCTGACTACCAGTGGCATTTTGAGAGCAAGAATTACTATTTCTCTTAAGCCAACCAAAATTAGCTGAAAAGCTTGACTTATGAATAGGCCAAACTCTAAATCTTTCACTAGAAAACAAGCTATTTCCTGAAAGTCATATTATGAATTTCTGTTGCTATCAAGGGTATAAATCTTATATCCACATTGGAGGGAGATAGAGAAGTGGTTGTTCTTCCTATTGATTGATTTCATCAGGAAAATAAAACTTAAAGAAGACTCCAGTGGCTTAGCGCTGTGCCTCGTGCACAGATGTCTTCTGCCTACCTGCTTTGCGTCTGTTTTCCATCCTCCTGCCGGACTCCAATCTCTGACACATGGTCTTGCCGTCCCATCTGTGCTTCATACATGACACAGCAGCCTGGCGTCATGGACCTACCAGTCAAGTCCCTTCATAAATCGATCTCTGCCTGTTTCCTTACACTCACTACTTCTTACTTCTCGCACTGGCATGTTGTGTTCTTTATAAACCCCAGTCCTTCCACACATGTGCTGAGTCTCATGCGCACGCCCTGCTAGGGCCGTCCCCTCTGCCTCGAGCACTCCCCCTTTTTATCCATCCGCTCCAACCCTGCTTGGCTGACATCCTTGCTAAGGTAATACATCCTTTAAAACTCGGGGGAGTACTTCCTTTTCCCATTCCCAAACCTCAGCGTTCTCCCAATGTGCATTATCTGTCTCACCACGGTTAACCACACCGTCTCATCATTATTTCTAATGCCCTATCCTTTAATGAAAAGGACTGTGCCCAGTTCCTTTTTAAATTCTAGACACTAGAACAATTCCTGGTAAAAAGTAAAAGCTTATAAATTTTTTCTGGATGGGTGAATAATTGAATGAGGACGTGAGAAGTTAGAGCCAGTAATCTCATTCAGTGAATTATTATAGACATGTTTGATTTACCATATATCTTCTGAATCAGTGATAGACAGCTGTGCTCTAGAGAGGCCAGAGATATTAAAATGACAACCAGTGTCAAGAATGGGCACCTCCAGTGCCGCTGGGAGGTATCATATTTAATCTATTTGATGATTAAAGTGCCTTGGGGTGCACACAATTTCAAACCTGTCATTTAAAAAACATAATGTGATGCAGTAACATTTAAAACGTCACTTTTTACCTGCCCAGGCTACCAGTGCGCTCTCACCAAGATGGAGCAAAGTTGATCTTAAACTGAAAAGCTGTCTGAACACTTCCAGAGGGTAGGGAGTGTGACTGTCTCATTCACTGTTAAATTCCAGATTCAGGCATAGGGTAGATCTTCAATGAATAGCTGTGGAGGTCATGAAAAAGGAAGATCTCCTGCTCGCATTGCAAGCAGTATCATGAAAAGATTGACCCAAAAATCCAAACTTTGATTTTTTATCGATTGAGTATAAGAACAGTTAACATACCAGTGAATTGGGTTTCTGTTCTTCTCAGTGCTTATCATTTATCCTGATGAAATAGTTAATATTGAAATTGTCTTTTCTGAAAGAGCATTTGAATCTCATACCAGGGAGTCAGACTCAGTAACCATATGTTCATACATGAATAATCCTAAACAAGGCAGAAGCTCCCATTAAATTAAATGTGAGAGTGGAAGGCAGCGTTGTAGATGTACGATCCGCTATTATTCTTACCTCTCCAGTGGACATTTGTTTTGCATTTGGTATTTATTAGTGACATATCTAAATAGTCACTTTATAATGTAAGATTTTTTTCTCAAAGGGAGAATGTTTGGATTCCCCATCGATATTACAGTTGTATTTTTGAGAGACATTTTGGGACTGTTTTTTCATTAGAATTCATCTTTCTCTTCAAGGGTGTACCTCAATTACCATGTGCCAAAGCGTTATACAACTATGAAGGAAAAGAGCCTGGAGACCTTAAATTCAACAAAGGTGACATCATCATTTTACGACGACAAGTGGATGAAAATTGGTACCATGGGGAAGTCAATGGAATCCATGGCTTTTTCCCCACCAATTTTGTGCAGATTATTAAACCATTACCTCAGCCCCCACCTCAGTGCAAAGCACTTTATGACTTCGAAGTGAAAGACAAGGAAGCAGACAAAGATTGCCTTCCATTTGCAAAGGTAAATGGGATTAGAATAAAATTTACCTATCAGTTCTTCTCTACCTGAAATGTGGCTGGTATTGCCTTTTTGCAAAAAGATAATTTTGCCTGAACCATCTTACTGTGCTTCTAAAAATATTGGCAACCGTCTTCATTAAGAAAAGTAATTTTGTACATAGACTTCTATGAGAGATAATTTTGGAGGTACATTTATTTCTAAGCCACTTTAAAGGATATGTGTGGCACTTAGGAATTTTAAAGTACTGAATTATGAATAACAAATGAAACATCATTTCTTTCTTATTTTATATGTAAATTCCTTGCTTAAAAGCAGAAAAGAATATATTGACTGAATTGGTAAAGTGGTTTAGAATTTTAAGTAGAATATTGTGTTTTTGTAAAGAAAAATAATAGAGCATGCATTTGAATGGATATTTGGCATGTTTGAGAGAAAGGAAGAAGTACCTGAGGATCAATCTAAACAGAAATTCAAGATGCTAGGGTGGGTGCCCGTGGGATTTACAATTTATGGATCCAAATAAGCAGCCAGCCACTTGTTTAGAAGTTCGTAGTTTTACAATTGTCTAAAAAAAGAGAAAAAAACTCAGATTGACTGATAGGTATCATTTAGCTCATGAAAACATTGAATTTGTGCATTAAAGTTGTGTCATAGCAGTTTTATTCATCTACTGTTGCAATTTGACTCTCGTTATTGAGACAGAAAATTAAACGACAGACCTAAAGGGATCAGGGAGACTCATGATTGGTTGTTCCTTCAGGATGATGTTCTGACTGTGATCCGCAGAGTGGATGAAAACTGGGCAGAAGGAATGCTGGCCGACAAAATAGGCATATTTCCAATTTCATATGTTGAGGTAAGTTCGTCTATGGAGTCTTGAATTGGGTTAGTCCTTGGCTTAGTAAATGTATAATAAATGTGTAATTGGAGTACTATGAAGTGCCCAAGACACAAAGCACCACAAGTGTTCTCTTCAGGGTCACTAGATGGATTAGCAAGAATTCCTTCATTCTGTCTGCTCTTCAGTTACTGAAGAGTGTGCAATGCCTGAAACCCTTTGTCTCCTTGCTACAAGCATTCCTCTGTCTTCTTAAAGGTACCATATTCCTACTTTCCATCTACACCATTTTCAGATGTTCTTTTCCATTTTCTGGCTTTGGGATAAGAAAGTTAATAAAGTTCCTGTGTTAGTTGGAAGATTTGTGTATTTATTTGTTTACATATTCCATTATCGGCCACAGCATCAGAACTAGAGTAATGATTCATAGAGTAATAAGTAGTTTATTTATTAAATAATTGAACAAATCATTCTCAATCACATGCCAGTAAATTCTTAGCCCCAGCTCCTCCCCTTTTAATCAATTAACGTTACTTAGAAAGCTTGTGGTCAAGCCTCAGTTAGTGAAGTCTTTTTGAGTATATAGAAAGTAACACCGTTTTATTATTTTAAAGAAAAGCAGAAATTAAAAATGAACTAAGAAATTACAGCTTATACTAGATCTTCGTTGTATCATCTATCATAAACTTTCCTTTAGTAATAATCATTTTTTGCTGAAGGCGATTTCAAAGAGTGAAACAACCACAGCCCAAACAACCAAACAAGGTTGTTGAGGTCACAAAATGCTCCTGGAAAGATACCTTTGTGATAGATAAACATAGGTTAACCAAGAGAGATGTGAAAGGGGCAATTTATGGCAGGAAGAACACCCAGGCAGGGTGACCAGTGTGTACAAAGGTCACAAAGTAAGAGAGAGCACACTGGTTATTTGGGGGAATTGAGAATGGTTCTGTTGTTTAAAGTACCAAAGCATGTATATACTTTAAGCATGTAAAAAGGAAAAGCACTATGAATTGTATTTTGCCATCTTTTTATCTGATTCTGAAGGTCAAAATGATGAATTATAGTTTTGTAGCCAGCACTCAGCTTCCTCCTTAGGCAGTGAGTTTACCAGAGTTTTCATTACAAATCAGCTTGTCTACCATATATCCATGGGGGAGTAATTCAAACCACATACAAGTCTTGAATTCTATCCATGCCTTTCAGATGTTTCTGTTTTTTGAAATATTTTTCCTTATTTAAAAAATAAACAACAGAGAAAAAGATCTTTAGCAGTCAATCCCTTTTGTACATTATTTGTGTAGTCGAAGTGTGGGTCATGGAAAACTACAGGCATTTCCAAATATTTGAATAATTATGTTAAAGATCACGAACAATCACAAGATTAGTAGTGAAAGCCTGTCTTTACTTGTTAGGTATTGTCAATATTACATGCTGACTCTTGGTTCGTGATGCATGAAAAAGCATAGCTGTATTTTTGTTATTGGGCAGGTGTAGATTGTACAGATAGGCATTAAAAGATCTACCCACGGGAAGTCCAGAGTCACTTCCAGTCTCTTGAGTCATTAGGATCATTTACTCTGACTTAAATTGGAAAGGTAAACTTCTACCAAGTGGAGAGTACTTTTGTTCTTTTCTCTCTTTCCTTTCAAATGAGTATTTTCCTTTATTTGGATCAGAATTTTGCTAGCTAAAGTATGGTAAACAAATCATCTGTCTTCAAGAGTCTTGGAACTTTTCTTTGATGTCAGGCCATCAGATTGAAGCTCCTGGTGGGGAGCAGAGCATGTGGAGATTAGGGGCACCTGTCTTAGCCCTGGGGGGATGGAGACGGAGGCAGATTTCAAATCCAGCCTACTAAACCCCAGCCATCTCAGTAGCATAGAGTGTTTTACAGGACGGTTTCAAACACGGAAAAGTAAACTATAGAAGTAAAAAACAGAAGCCTTTTCTTCAATACCAGTTTTTCTCCTGTTTTATAAACCTTATTTATCATTTGACCACTTTAGGGCCCAGACAGACTGGAATATATAAATAAATCATGATAAATGTTCACTAGTAGATAATTTTCTTATATTTTATAAGCAGACATTTAAATTTCCATCAATTTTAAGTACTTGGGTAGAAGGATTTGTTTGTTTTCACACTGTTGCCCCGGTTTCTAAAAGATCAAATAAGCTAATACACTTAAGGGGTTTAGCAGCCCTATGTCTTATGCAAAGTAATTTGGAGCTCAGATTAGACCATAACCCAGATTGTGCCAGAGTATAGTAATTATCAAATAAACAAACCACACCATCAAGAATAATGAGGGAATATATTCAGAGTTGGATTCTGCGTCACCATAACCGTACGTTGCACAAGCCTGTAACAAAGGCTCTAACTCCCCTTAAAGCCTTAGTGTAAGACACTCTACACTATTGAACAGAGGCTCCTAAAGTTGGTTTTGGCAATAGAAATCCCTAAGAGAATTGGTTGTGGCAGAAATTCTAAATTGGATGAGCCAGGTTGTAGCATTATGGAACTGCAGGGAGTTAGTGGTTCAGACGCTGAACTGTAGAACCGAGGAGAGAAAGAAGGAAGAAAGGGAAATCAAAAAGACAGCACCAGGACTGAGTAACGAGAGAATTGTGGGCAGGAAGAACTGAGGTGGTGAGATGTGCTGCCGGGCTAATTTGCCCTCCCTGCCTGTCTTCAGTGATTTTTCTCTTGTCTTTCAACATCCCGTAACTGTGGTCTCTGATCTTGACCTGCATTGAGTAAGGGGATAAAATAGTAAGAATAATAGCAAGATTGGCAAACAGATTTCCTATTAAAGTGAAATGCAAGATTCTTCAAGAGTTAAGTAGAGATGGAGAAGCTGTGGTTGGAGTTAGTGAGTAGGAGAAAAAATTGCTATGTAAGTGGTCCTTAATTCTGTCACTTGGAGTCTTTGATTAGCTCTTATATTGCAGGTTTTTTTGCTTTGATATCATTCATTATCATTCATGCTTTCTCTCTAGAAATTCTCTCATCGATCTTCTCTTTGGACATGCTTTAGATGTTGAGGATTCTATTCTTTTCAGACAGGCTCTTCCCTGGCCTTGGAGGTTGTGAATTTTTTTCTGTTCAGATAGGCTCTTTATTGGCTTGAACAAGTTGAAAAGCAGTGAGTGATAAGAGTTTCGTGGGGAAGCCAGGGGAATTCTTGAAGACACAGTGTGAGGTTACTTACAAAAGGGTGTGTTTATCAAGAAGTGTGTTGCCTGCTTCTCTCTTGTTTAAAAAATAACCAGTTTTTTACACAATGGGATGGAAGACTTTTAACATGCCTGTTAATTTGGAACTGACTCACTCGATTTCAGCAGTTGTTCAGATAAGGATGACACAATTCTTAGCAGGCAGAATGTTTGAATGAGGTAAGTGCCACATGTAGGATTTTGGATGTTTTTCAAATGTGGTAATATTGTAGGCTTATAGTGAGTTACACATCTTTATTAAGTTTCTCATCTTATTTTGATTCCTAGTCATTTGTTTGACATATCACTCACCCAAGTTTTTCAACAACAACAAAATTATTTAGCAACTTGCTCCTTTGCCATAGATAATATAAAGATAAGCATTCCTTGGCATCCAGTGTAGTAGGAGTGCCTCATCGACAACTGTTCTTCCTCTTTAGTTACTGCCAGAAAGCAGGGCTGTTTACTCATTCTTTAGATCTCACTCCAGATGTCATCCTTTTGATAGACTTCCCCTCACTATCTTGTCAAAATTAAGTCCTCTTCACCACTCACTTTACCTCAGATGCTCACTGTTAAAGTAGTCGGGGGAAAGTTGGACTGTGGAGCTAGCTGCCCGGCTAGGACTCCAGTCATGGCTCTACCACTAATCATCTGAGTGACTTTGGGCCTGGTCTTTGTGTTTTAGAAATCAAGAACCTTTGTATCGGATGAACTAATCCCAGTGACATTTAAGAATAGAGTCTGGCGTCCTCTCAGCTTTATAAGTGATTGTTATGATTAGTAGAACATTATTCCTCAGAGCACTTTGCTCTAACCATTCCAAGTCATTTGTTGTGGTGATACTGGAAGGGAGCCTCTGAGGGCTTTGTCTTCCTGGCTTACCTCTGTCTCCTGCAGTTCTTGTGCACAGTGAGCTCTCAATAAATGTTGCTCAGATCACTAAGGGTCAACCTAAGAACGTGTAGAAGAAAAGTTTCAAACTAAAAACAAAACTCGTTTGTAGATTTTTGCCCACTTTCAGTTAAATTTTTCAGCTAATATTCTTGTCATTCCCTGCCAGCCATATATTTTGTTACTGATGTATCTTGGTTTTATATCAGGAACTTACATTCCTCAAAGCCATTGGGGCTGTGTGACCTTAGTGAGATTGCTTTCTTTTTTTAAACTAGGCTGAGTGAGTATTTGGTTATGTCAACTTCAGAATTTTCCCACACTAAAATAATAGTAGCCAGAGCATGTGGTATGATCTTGTAACCTCTGCTGTGTATTTGTAATATAGAAAAGCCTCCCTGGTAGGAGGGCAGAGTGGAGGAGACATGGGCCAAGGGTATACCATTTCTGTTAGATAGAAGGAATAAATTCCTCAGGCTGTGGAGTAGAGAGTATTATTAGAATTAACAATGGAAAGTCAAATACACAGGACTCAGCACAAATGGCCTTAAAAGTTGTAGCTCTGGCTTTTTCTTCTATGGAGTTAGGGAACTAGAAGAGACGTTGTTCCAAACAAGTAGAGGTTGAGGTACATAGATTGAAATTGTCAAGGTAACCCTTAGAGGAGCTAAGAATAGCAATATTAATTTTACCATTTTTAAACTTAAAGCTTTTCCTCTAGAGAATAAGGACGGCAGAAGGGCAAAATAATAATCTTTGATATAATAATCAAAGAGTTGATTGAACTATATAAAAATGTTCTATTACATCTTTGAATGTGGTAGAGTTTTTTTTTTTCTTTAAAACTAAAAAGTGTAATCAATGTTTATAAAAGAAATTTAGAGAAATTGTTAGGAAGTTAGAAAG